TGGAGAAATCTTATCTGCTATCAATATTCACCAAAATAATTTTTATAAAAATATTATAATCTTAGGAGCAACTTAGAAGATATCAAATTATCTTTCATCTAAGCTAAACATCATCTTTATTATTCTTAAAGTAATTTATAAGCCATACCCACGGAAGCAACCCTATAAGAGTGACAGATCATACCCATTTCTCAACGTTGGGATTCCTAATAAGTGAATGTGCAAAATATTCTTGATGAGATCTTCGTGGAACAAGAATATTAACTTGTTTATTATCACATTAATTATTTTAAATTAAATAAAAACTTAATTAAACTTTTTCATTTTTGAGCTAATGATTGAAAGGAATATTAGATATTCCAGGATCATTCTACCTATTAGTAGATTATTTATTTCCTACGAAATTTCTAAACATAAAGATCAAACAATATTTTGAAGAGGGTTCGATTAGTTTTATATGCCTTGTCTCTCGGAAAAAATTTCTCAACGCGTGATATTTTTTATTTCTTTTTTAAGTTCTGAGTATAAATTTTATTATCATGGAAGGATATATTTATCATTAATGACTTACTTGTCAACTTGTAAATTTGTTAATCTCAAGCCCTCTCTATCCTTAGGGGCAGTCATATATTGCCAACTAATTAAGTGGATATTTTTCTTTTTCTGATTTGAAATTTAAAATAATTCCCTTAAGAGAATAGAGATCCTTTTCAAAACCTCTTTTAAGACCCAATTATTAATTAATATATGAATAGGCAAGGAGTTAGAACATAAAACTTACAAAACTTGTAAGAACAAGTTTAAGAACAATTATTAAGTCTTAAATTTTGCTAGAGGAGGGGGGGAATTAGTGTAGCGGAAAACTTTCGACGATTAAAATTGTGTTCGTACGTTGAAATCTAATTCCGATGTAAAAGTCGTTTCATGCGGATAATAACTTTGAAAGCTTACGGAAACTTATTTGAAGTAAAGTAAGGAAGACAGTTTGTAGTTAAGATAAATAGCACAAAGGAAATGCAAACCAGATTTTAGGTGGTTCGGTTAAACGTGACCTACATCCACTTTCGGCTTCCTCCTCCGACAAGGTCACCGACGTCTACTAGAGGCCTTTCTTCAATAGACGAAGGCCAACCACCCTTTTACAGTTTCACTCCTTTTGACGGGCTTAAGAGACAACCCTTACAGAATTTCTCTCCTCTCTTAAAAGCTCAAAACTTGGAATAAAAGAGGGAGGAGAACTTCTAGCCTTTACAACACTTTTGAGCTCTAAAAATCATAGAGTAAGATTGGATTTTCGGTGCCCTTTTATGCAGGAAAGGGTGGGGTATATAGGGCCCCAAATTGGTTTGAATTTGGAGCTCAAAAATATCTTTTCCCGGATTTCCGGGGTCCTAGCAGTACTACCTCCTGACTGGGGCGGTACAACCGCCAAGCAGCTCGGAGACTGAGCCTCTGGGTGGTGCCACCTCCTGACAGGGGTGGTTGCACCACCTAGTCTCGCTCGGAGACTGAGCTCAGGCGATGCCACTGCCTGATTGGGGTGGTTGCACCGCCCAATCTCGCTTGGAGACTGAGCCCAAGCGATGCCACCGCCTAACCTAGGCGGTTGCACCGCCCAGCTTTCCTGGGAGACTATCTCCTAGGTGGTGCCACCGTCGACCCTGGCGGTGCCACTGCCTAGCAGGAATTCTGGTCCGAATGGGTTGATCCATTCGGCCCAATTTGAGTCTATCAAGGGCCCAATTGCCCCCAGATTAAGTTAATGGGATCACCTCCTATTCCTAACTTAATCTACATGCTAACTACGATATTTCTTAAGACATTTACTACAACTTGCTCCGGTGTGTCAATCGCTTCTTTGGGCGAGCTTCCGGCGAACTTCCGGCGAACATCCGACGAACCTTCGACGATGCTCCGGCGGACTTCCAGCAAACTCCTGGACTTGCGACAATCCACTTAGCGAGTTCTGACAAGTTTCTTTGGCAAGCTCCTGGACTTCTCATATTTGTTCCCGCAAAACCTCCGACGACCGTCCGAACTTCCGTCGAACTCTCGAACTCCCAACGTGATCATAGTCTTGACTCCGGCGTAACTCCTACTACATGTCTTACTTCCATCGTAGTTAATCCTGCACATGTAAAACAAAACTTTGATCGAGACAATTAATCCTAAGCAATTAACCAAGTTGTCCGGTATGTTATTGGTCCCTCGACGCTTCGTTCGATTATTCGGCGCATCGTCCTCTCCTGCGGCCTATTGCCCAATCGGCTAGTTGACTCCGCAACTCCGATATCCTTGGCATAATACCCGCTCTTATTGGCCCGATGCCTGAGTCCACGGCCCGAAGCCTTCTGTCGATATGTCGACCGATCCACCGGCCTGACGTCCAATCTTCTAACATGTTCCTCCGGTACAACATGATTTTTCCTGTTTTAATTGTCTCATCCTGATCGAAGTATCTTGTGTTACTCAAAACGTAAATTAAATCATAAACATATATCAAGTGGTTTCATCATCAAAATACGAGATTCAACATAAGTACCTTGTTGTGCAAATGACTTAAAAGAGATTATGTACCCAAATATTTAGAAAGCCAAAAATCTCTTCTTTGATACCAAGGGCATTATAACCATGTGTTTGGTAACAGGCAATTAATCTTTAATAGAGTAAGTTTCTCAAATGCATAGATAGAGGACTTTAAGCATATGATTACAAGTTTTGGGGCTTATTCTAGTTGTAAAACAAAATAATCTATAAACATGTTTATAATATGAGAGATTTTAATGTCTTTAATATTAAAAGAAGAGATTTCTTTTGGGTGACTGCATTGAAGATTAAGATTGGTATATAAATTGCATGTGATTGAAAACTTCATTTGTATAAAGTCCACCTAATAGCTTCGGATTGAGTCATAAACTTTAGGAATGTCTAATTAATTAAATGTGATTGACTCTTGTAAAATCCATTTAATTAAATGATGTCATCCCTATAAATGATATGTGTTATATAAATTGCATGGTCAATTTAAAATTTTATTAAACTTGAGTTCAAATATTATAATCATTTAACCAATATAATCGTTATGTATGTAATATTTGTTTGATATATTAAAAGATTGCGAGGATCTTGACAAATTTTGTGGCAGTGTCACACTATATATTGATTTTGCAATCCAGTCTAATACAGTTTTATCTAACTCACATCAAACTTATATGATAGAATGAAAACATAATATAAAATCGAGCTTAGATGTTTTTATAATCTAATTTATTACATTTTTCATATTGATAAAGTAATCAATCCACTGTAAACTGATTCATTTTAGAGTGTTTTAAGAGTTCTGATCCATAAGTGGGTCAAGCAAAGCTGCATGATTCTCAACTTAAATTTGATCATGCTCCTGATATTAATGTGGCCCCATTAATAGCTAATTGAATTCTATTTTGAATGAAATAGAATTCGTGGAGCATTTAATTCATTGTTATTTTCAATAATAATAATAATAATAATAATAATAATAATAATCACATTCTAATTTTACAAGTATTTTGATATATTCGTTAAATTCAAATTATATTCTAGTTCATATTATGATTTATGTTCGGGCGTTTGGGTAGATTCGATCGAGAGGATGTGGCATGAAATTTTTATGATAAATAGTTAGAATGTAAAGAAGGCTAAAACTTAAAAATGCTTTGAATAAATTGAAACCAAGAAAATCTCAAGCATCTAATTTTGTTTGTCAAGAACAAAATATAATTTTTTTCTATAAAATAACAATTAAAAAATATTTCCAAATCAAAAGAAAGGTGGGAATCTTGATCTGAACCTAAGATGTCAAATCAATTCGATCATAACATAACCTAACTTAGGCCATGGTTTCGAAGAGAGAGAGAGAAAAAACTTGTAACATCAAAGAAATTATAGAGAAAAATAAATAAAAGTATACAAAAATTGATGTAAGATTTAATGTAATAATAAAAGATTACTTTTGTTTATATCAACAGAAAAATAATAAATTTTTTACTACGTAAGAATAATTACAAGACTTAGTTATTCTCGCTTGAGTATAATCATCATCTGATATATCTTTTCACATAAACTTCGAATAATTTATATAATTTTATTTATCCTTTCTAAATATCAGGAGAAATTCAGGGGCACTAAAATATTCCTCATATATTATTCTCGTCTTATCAAAATCCATGAGATATTTATTATAGAACAAAATCTTAATTCTCAGGATTTGATTTAATTCCTTGTTTTATAAAATAATGATTGCAATAATATCAAAATAATTATTAATCCCAATAATATCTCTTGGTGAGCCTTTTATCCACCTTTGTGCTATTTTAAGAAGAAAATACTTTTACTTTACACTCATTTAAATCCTCATCACTTATCCTTATTAAACCTCTAATCATTGGATCTTCTAAGCTTTGATACTATTTATTGGGGAGGAAGAGAAAACAATTAAAATAAAAAAAAATCATATAGATTAACAAATAAACACATCAATAAGTCAACGCAAGATGTTAAATTGGTGCTCCATACCCAAAATGCCAATACAGATTAAAAAAAAAAGATTTCTATCTTTTTCATTGGATCGATCCAATTCATTTACTACAGTCATATAATAATTTTATGTGCTGCCAAATATATTGTAATTCTATTCAAAAACAACATAATTCACTTAGAACTCAAATTCCTTTTATATATGTTTATTTTAAAACAGATAATAATATTTATTTAAGACCTATTAGATGTAGTTATTATTGTATTCTAAATCTTTTGTACTTAGTTGTAATATTTAAGAGACCCGTTATTTTCCGTTCGGATCGATCAAAAGTGACGGAGGAGAGTATTTTTTTTTTGTCCTGTCGGATCGGATCGGACGGTCTAATGCTTCGCGGATCGGGTTAAGATTGCACTGCGGATCCGGGTTAAAATTGCCACCCGATATTCCCAATGATCCCTGTCGACTCCGACCGACTCGAACTCTCATGCCTCGCGGGGCGTAGATTCCTACTTCTTCCCAAGGAGAAACGAGAGGCGCGGTGGGTGAGGGAAGAGCGGCAGCCATGACGGAGTCCGAAGAGGAACCCGTACTCCTCGAGCGTTCTGCTCGACTCACCAGAGGGAAGAGGTACTATTCTTCTTCTCCCCATTTTTTGTTTCTATCCTTCAGTCTCCCCCCGATGAGCTGTCGGTGATCTTACGGTTTCAAGAAGTCGATCATCTGCGAACCCTAGTTGATGCTGCCCAAGATTTCGTGTGATTTGCTTTCGATGCCAGCGGTTCGATTTTCCTTTTGTTGATTAGGATGAAATCCGGGGTATCGATTGCTCCCGAGCATAACGGAGCTTTAATTTGAAGGGCTTTGCGTCCATTTGGTCTTGAGAAATGACGGGAATATTTTAGCTTTTTATTTCGTTATCGCTCTGAAGAACGATTTCCCAATGTATTACAACCAAGAAATGGATTAATGTCCGAATTTTGATCTCCGGTTGCAACTAGAGGCGAACGTTTGGGGAAATAGACTTGCTTGCATGTGCTAGTGAGTCGAGGTTGATACTTGGTCGGAGCTCTCAAAATATAGCACATGACTATGCTTAAACGTGGAATATATATGAAACATGGGGAATTTCTCTAAAAAGAATGGCTGACCATTGCCCTGATTACAAATAATCTTATCTCGAGACTCGTAGAGAGTTGGATTGTTTCAAAAATGATCTTGTGGAGACTAATTCAGAGTATGTTTTGGTGAATATTTGCTGGAACAACCAGTGTTTGTTCTCTTTCTTGTGAAGTTGAGGGTTGATCTTTCTAGTACTCTGGTACGACCACCAAGAAACTTTACCTGCACTCTAACTGGCTTGTTTGAGGCCTAGAAAGAGCTTATTGTTTGTTCAACTATGCCAGTTAAAATGGCAGTTTTTCTAGCTTCTTATCTCTAAATAACTTTAAAAATCTAATTAACAAAATAAAAAATTATGAAATAGTTGGTGGAAAAAGAATGATTTTGCATTTGAACAAGTCTGTCTGCTGGATTTTCTATATGACATTTGACTGGTAAAATATGGAATTACATTTTTTGATTAGCAGGCCACAATAGATGTTTCTGCCGGCTTCGTCAAAAGCTTATTTTCTTGACTTGCATCTAAATATATTTCTGCGGGCTTCATTTAAAGCTTCTTTTTTTTTTTACTTACATCTAAATGTAATTATATTGCTGATTCAGAGATGTTTTTCTAATTCTGACTCTGGATCACCTTTCATGATACAGCCTCCACATGATGACTCTGACACGTCGAAGTTTCTTTATGCTAGAAAATTTAAAAACCTCATTGTTCATTTTCTTGAACTTAGAAATGACTCAAATGAATGGTAATGACATAATGTTGCTTTGACTACCAGAACAAATGGTTTCTTTCTCTTTTGCAGACTCCATAAAAATTGTTTTCATGTTTACGAGATTTTTTAAATAATTATTCTATTTTTCTTATTTTCATCATTCTGTTTTCCATTGGGTCTGAAGAAATTGGGCGGTATTTGTTTGAGTAAAATGACAAGCACAGGCCTTTGTTTCTATCATCTGTAGTTTCTTTTGTTAATAATTATACTCTATTTTGTACTAGAGAATTGCTAGTTGTTGGGTTGTCTCAACTCTCATATGTGGTATATGGTTTAGAATTATGAATCAAAGAAAACTTTTAGCTTTTATTTGGTATCCAAGTTTGACATGTACTTGATGAGTTAAAGATGATGGTTCAGTACAATTAGAAAGTAATTTTCATAATAGTATTTTTTATAAAAGTTGAGTCATAATTCATGTTTTAGTTCATAAAATGTGCCAATATCATGTAGAGATGATCTTTCTTGCTTATTGTTAGCTCTGTACTTTTATGCATCTAAATTTCAAATTAAAGAAAGGTAAAGAGCAGACTTAGCTTGAGTGTGAGATGTTGAATGGAAACAAGTCATTTAGGTTACACATTCTACGATGGACTAACTGTTGGTGGATCAAGTGTGACTATTTACTTGATTAAGCCTCATAAGTTCACTTGCAGCCATGATTGTCTTTCCCTGGAAGACCTTAGAGTTGACTTTTGTCACTTTCCTTGCATTTGAATAAGTCCTAATTATCTATTTAAATGCATTTGCACAAACCTCCAGAGTCTGTACAACATTCTGTAAAAAATCCGTTGAACTGTGGTAGTTGTTCCTGGAACTATGGGGATGCTTTTTATGCTTTCCTCGGTATCTTGTCCTGTATCTACCAATATTCCTCATTGCTTTTTCTTCGTAGTGGCACCATTTTATGCGTGGTGGTATTGACCATGGTAATGAAATTGGCTATATAAAGTAACCAATTCACTAGGATGTGACTTTTAGAGCTGAAAGTGACCCATACGCATTGCCAGGTACTGATAGCAGGACATGAATTCTCAACCTCTCATATGCATAATCAGCTGTCTGGTTTAATATTTTAGAAGAATAAAAGTGAGCGGATCTACCTATCTTTACTCTCTCTCTGTCTCTCTCTCTCTCTCACTCTCTCTAACTATGTATATGGAAATTTTCTATGATTTGTCTTATCTTCTTTTGGACACTGTTAGTTTATTGAGCGAAAAATTTAAGGAGTTTCTTTTTCTCTACTGAATATGCATTTATTTTGGTTTTAAGATCCCCTCATGCTTGTGTGTTCTCATGTTTTGTTATTTGCTTTTGTTACATAGTATTTGATTAGCCCAAATCTGAAAGAAATTTATTGGTTATTGACATGAAATTTACATTTATTAGAATGTCCAAGTTGCTTGATAATGCGATTGAACAGGATGAAATATTCTGGAATCAAGATGCTCTTAAAGAGGTATTGCTTGTTTTTATTTTTATTTTTATGTACTATGCATTATGTATCATCCTACATGACTAGCCTCTCATTTGCTATTTTCTTCTCTTGAAATGATGGGTTGATTGATATTTTGCTCATTACTAATTAGAACAATACTTGAATGAACTCTATCACCATCTAGTATCATAAAACTTCTTCTCAATCATCTCAAATCTCAATGACCTATTTCAAGAGGTAGCAGATTTGAAATACTTTGAGCATTACCTAGTAACCACCAGCTAAAAAGATCTACTTTTAGAAAACTGTATTAAAAAGCACAAATTTTCTTTGTAATCACATCGTGTGATACAAGGATTAAGTCATCTGGGAATTGGTGTATGAAAGTTAAGCATGTGTCAGTTTGCTTTTCATTTGTGCTTTTTAGATTCAGCTTGTTGTATTGTTCTAATATTGGAGATATATATTTTTAATCTTCTCCTTGTCTTCAGGAAGAGAACGATGAAAATTATGAAGAAGAAGTGGAAGCTGCTGATGAATTTGATAGTGATTTTAATGATGACGTGAGAACTACAAATCTCCTGACTGTTTTTGCTTTATTACCAAAAGAAAAATTCAGAACAATGTGTATTTGTTTTTATAGTATAAGTTGCTGATGGATTTATTATTATTATCATTTTTGATCAAATGATTTCTTATCATTATCAGGAACCTGATCCTGACGAAGAAGCTGAAGTTGTTGCAGAAGACAAGTGCGGCCTATCTTAGATGAAAGTCATTTACAGGAACAAAGTCTTTTTACTTTTAAATTAATATTGATACTATGATTTTAAAAAGGTTACCTGTCAAAAAGCGGCTAATATTCCCTGGAAAGCCAGCAACAAAGAAGAAAAATAAAAAAAAGGTTCTCTTGAAGCTGGAAAATACACCAGAAGATGAGAAATTGTCCAAGAAAACTCCCCCCTCTGAAAATCAGGATTTACCTGACGACATAGAAGGTGAGAGAACAGTGAGAAAGTCAACTAGGACATCAGTGATTGTGCGACAGGCAGAAAGAGAAATACGTGCAGCATTGCAGGCATCCATGAAGGTAAGTTCTGTTTACATGTCATCACAAAAAAATTGATTGTTTCACATAAGATTACTTGTATGGACTTCTCTTTTTCTGTTCAATTATGTTTTGTACTAATATTACTAGACAGTCTATATTTTTCTGAATGCTATCTGATTTAGGATTTTCTTATTTTGGGGTATCTGGTTTCTTGCTTGATGCTGATTCAAGTGAAAAAAAAATCTTCAAGCAAAGGAATGTTGCCTAGTTGTATTAGATGGTTTCTTGTTAGAACCAGCTAAATACCAATTATTCAATTGAACAGAAAGAATTAAATTTCACTTCCCTCAGCTCCTCATAGATACATACCATCAACTCCTGAGCGCTGCTATGACTCCCTACAGCTGTGGAACATGCGTGAGAAAAGTAACCTAGGGTTAATAAAACAAAAGGACTGGACTGCCTAAAATGGGGTGGTTACATCCTGGTTCACATCCAGACCCCTAAATATTGGCTGGTGTGAACCAGTCCGAGTGATATTATATCCCATGATTTGGTTATGTATCTTAGAAGCTGACTATGGAAGATGGTCATATACCTTGGTTTCAGTAATTGAACAGATTCATGGAGGAACTATGACATTGGGATTAATAGGGATGGGAAAAATGATACTGTTAGAATGAACCCTGAACCCAAATACAAGAGGTGATTGTTAGTTTATTTTGCCTATTAAATTATATTGCTGCCTGGTAGATCTCCTACTTAGATTTCTTTTGGCATTCTTTTGGACTATCTGACTATAATCTGCTGTCGATATTATGTCCATCAAATGCACATTAGTTGCAAGACCTTGAAAGGTATTTTGAGAGACCTAAGAGCAACAGACTATGTGAATCCTGCATGCTTCTTGGATGTCATATCGAACATCCAGATGTCTACTGAAGAACTGCTAATTTTTCTCTAGTTTTTTATGTCTGCCTCTTATTGTTTGGTCATTCCTAGACCTTGCATTGGTGAGAGCATCGTGCACTGATGTCCCCTTTCCTTTTGTTTGGGACCATCAAATTTTCAAAATAGTTTTGATTTTTTAAGTCCAGTAAGATCACTTGAATCATGTTCTCTAATCATTTTAATTACCATATTGCTACTTTTTCTCAAAACGGTAGATGGATTGTTAATGTTGAATCTGAAGATTTAAGTTTGAAGCTTGTTGCTTAGCACGAAGGAGCCATAAGGTAGTTGATTTATGCAATAAGTTCTGATCATTGATTCTTCACTAGAGAAGTCTGTGCAACTCAAAGAAAAATTATGTATGACATTCCAACAAGGCGATCGATTAAACACATTATATAACCTAACTTGTGGCATTCCAACAAAGCAATCAACTAAGCTCGTTATATAAACTAACTGATAAGATGAGTTGGGTTACTTTGCTGTAAGCTATTTCTACGGTTTTCCAGCCAACTAATGCGGATGTTTTGCTACAGAGGCTCATACAATCATCGGGTAGCTTGACATTTCTCAATTATTTCAATCAGCTTCAACTAATATGTTATCTAGTGTATCTATTGATCTTGTATATCTTTTCTATTTGATCCAAACATATCTCCAGCCAATCAAGAGAAAAAAAGAAGGCGAGGAAAAACGGATGACACAAGAAGAGATGCTTTTGGAAGCGGCTCAAACAGGTGAGGAATTAAGTGTTAAGTGCTATTCATATGTTAATTTTTACTATATCTGCAGTGACAAGCCTTGTGTAGAGGAGTTGATATTTACTATCAATTTCAGAAATTATGAATTTGAGAAATTTAGAACGCGTACTGGCAAGGGAAGAAGAAGTCAAGAAAAAAGCTGTTGTGCATAAAGCAGTCTATGATGGTCCTCAAATACGATTTACATCAAGAAATGGTAAGTCATTTTTAACATGTCCTCATCGGCTAGCTTCATATTTTGGTGGTCTAGTTTTTATTTCTTCTATTTCTTTCGTGTGTGCCTGAGGAGCTTAATAAGATTAGGACTTACTGTTACCAGCATAAACTAAGTCCCATTTAGAATTTTTCTGAATGCTCTATTATACTGTACTGTGTAGGTGAATCATATCTAGAATTCATCAAGGGTGCATCTTTTCAGTCAGAAATTTGTACATCATCAGTTCCCTGTAAGTAGATATAAATGTTTCCTCTTGATTACTTCTCAGTATAAGAAATATTATTATTTTTTAATGTTTTCCATATCTTGCTTGTATATTTCATATTCCTCTTATTTATGTGTCTTAGACAGCACTTGTGCTAAAAGGCACTTTATAAGATAACAGTGACTCCTTTCTTCTAGTTCTTGCTACCTTTCATTCTGCTTATGTGTTATGAAGATTAGTATAGCTTATTTTGGTGAGAAGCTCATTATGTCACATGAGTTCACTTATATGACATATGTAGAAAACAAAGAATACCTTGATTTACTTGACTCAGTTAATAAATAAATATTTTCATGGGCAATTATTCTACCAGATAGCTATTACAGCATGATCTGATTGATGAAGAGAACCAATAATGCATGACAAACATTATTTCTTGTTACAGTTTCTTTCACAACTAATTAAATTAAGGCCATATGTTTTTGTGTCTCAATGTTCTTTTTGTTGACTTTTTTTGGGAAGGGTGCTAGGTAATACTTCTAAACTATCTCATAGGTTAAATTAAATAATGGAATCATGATGCTTAATTGATGTGGTAATCTCCATCACTGACTTGACGAAGTCAGTGGCGTCCACATGCAGGAACCAACTCCTGGGATCTTTCTAGTATGGTAATCTCTCATCATTGTATGCTCAACAGTGAAACCATATGCTGTGTCCTCTTGTGATTTCTTAAAATAAGTTCACATGTCTTTTACCTGGAAAACATTTGAAATGTCATATTTTACAATAGAAATTATGATTAGGATATACAATTCACACCTTCACGAAAAATGGTGAGAGAATTTCACATGCCTGTTCTGTCAAATCTCCTATATAAGCATGTTTCATCATTAATGCTCCTAATGCAACATAGCACGTCCTTGGTAAAGAGTCTTCTTTTTTCTTTGTCTAGATAGGTCTCTTATCCATTCCTGAGTTGGACATGGTTTTACTATGTTCTCCTCTGCTTTCTTTTACTTTTTTTTACTTGCTCCTTTTTGTACCATGGTGAGTTTGGTTGCGTTTGGGAACACATTTGCATTTTTAATGTTGAGTGAATGTTTGGTTGGGGAATGCTTTTAGTGTTTGGTAAATAAAATATGAAAATTATATTTAAAATATGCATTCATATAAGTGTCATTTGGAAAAATTGTATTTCAAAAGTTCATTGAACATTTTGTGACAAATTTACCATTTTAATAGTTTTAATATTTATTTAAAAATGAATACATATTTTTCATTTAAATTAATAAGTAAATAAATAAATGAATGCATGTAATCCTATAAAAATATTTGTATGGCCCAAATATATAATAAATAAAAATATAATCATATAAATAAATATAAAATTATTTTTAAAAATAAATAAATAAAATTTCATCTTATTAGAAAATATAAATCACATTGGTTTCTCACTAAAT